TGCCCAGCTGGGCAGCCATCCAGGGCCCAGGGGTCCTCCCGGGGCTCCCCCACTGGCTGCACGGGCTGAGGGCATCTGGTCCGTTGCGCCCAACCTGGGGCCCTGTGGGCGGAGGGGACAGCCAGGACCTCAGGTTCCTAAGGAGCGTCCAGCAGGGGTGTCCTCAGGTGGGCAGGAGGGGGCCTCGCTGTGCGTCCTGATGGCAGCCGTCACCACCCTGAGCCCCACAGCCCGGGGGCTGGAGCTGGACGGGGCCCGGCCACGGTGCCATGGGAAGCTGGCCGCCCCAGACAGCCTCCTGGTGGCCCCGACTGCTGTCCCCCAGGGCGGTGAGGGCGGGAAAGAAGGGCTGCGGTCAGACAGTGGTGGAGGCCATCTGATCCACGGAGCTGCCTTGGAGCAGCCTGACTAGGGTCCCCAGGGCCACCTGGGCCACCGCAGGGGAGGAGGAGCCAGGGGCCGGCTGCTCCCTCTGTCCCCAGCTCCCCCCGACCCCGAGTCCCCCGTCCCTGGCTCCCCATGTCGCCGGCCCCCCATGTCGCCGCTCCCCACGCCGCGGACGCAGAAACCCCTTTACCCCTGCAGCTGGACCTGGGGAGAGGATGCGTTTTCCGTGAGACTCGGTCCGGTCAGGGGTCCCCACTCGGCCCGGGCAGGCTGTGGCCCGGCTCCCAGAGGCAATTAACTCTGTTATCAGCTTCTGATTAGGGAGCGATCATGGCCTCGTTAATACACTTTATCACGCTTGTCACCAGCAGCTGTCCCGACAGGTCCTGTCATCAGACGCGGTGGCCTCGCCGTCCACACGCAGCTTCCAGCAGCGGGCAGGCTCAGGGCCACCCGCGCCCTTCACCAGGCCTCACCCGCCTGCTCCTCTCACTCCTGAGCCACCGGGGCCCTTGCTGTGCTGTGCGGCCACACGGCTGCCGGCTGCCGTGGATGTCCCTGCTGACCCCTCCCACAGCCTCATGTCCCCTCTGCTCTACAACTGGGTACAGGGACAGTCACCCTGATGGCAGCCACCACGTGTAGCCCCCCAGGAGGACCGGGCTCAGAGAATGATGGTGGTGAAACAGCAGAGGGACCGGGAAGCGTCCACCAAGACCGCGAGCACGGTGCGCTCCAGCTGTCCCTAGCTGCTGGACACAGACACAGGCAGGCCGAGCGGAGCGGTCAGCCGACGTCCCCAACCTCTGGGGACAGCACACAGTCCAGAGCCGGGGCCCTCCCTCACTCTCTGGACTGGGGCAGAGGGAGGCCTGGCCGGCAGCTCCACTCAGGAGCAGGACGGTGGTGGGCGGCCTCGGGCCCTGGGCAGCGGCCACTGGGCCTCCCGGGCTGTGCGGCTGGCCCCAAGCCCCACGCGCACCTGCCCAGTTCTCAGGGTCCTCTACACCTGGAGGAGAAACCCTCGTCCTGAAGGTCCCATCACACAGGTCAGACGCCGCCCGCTGACAGCCCTGCCGCGACTCGCCCTCGCCGCCCTGAGGGCTCCCGTGTGTGTGCCCGATTCTCTGTCCAGGGGCGTCAGGCTGAGGCCCCAAACTGCACCCCAAGAACAACGCCCTGCAGTTCTCTTGGCCTCTCTCGTGATGGTATAGTGGCTGCTGTGCCTCCAGCCACAGTATCCACATTCCAGAGGAGAAAGGAGGAAGAGGGGTGGAGAAGCGGTGGTGTGTGCTGATTGTTGCTTTCATAAGGAAATAAAAACCTTCCCTGAATCACCGGCCACCTGTCTCAGTGCTCAGAGCCACGACCCGGGACCTCCGGTGTGAGGTCCTGCCTGTCCCCAGTCCCTCTTGCTGCCTTGCCTGGTGGGTCACAGCCTCGTGGCCTGGTGACGGGCAGCTGCTCCTTCCTGCTGCCCCATCCCCGGCCTCCCCAGGGCAGCCACGGCCGGGGTCAGCGCTCCCCAGGCCTGGACCCCAGTCCTCTGCCCTCGCTGTGGCCTGACTGTCCAGAGCCTGTGCCGGGGACTCGGCCCGCGAGGGTGTGGGGCGCGGCAGGGGCAGGAGGCGCCCTGCCAGCCCTGACCCGCCCCCGGGAGCCCTCTGCTGTGGACTCTCCAGAAGCACAGATGGACCCTGCTGTGCCCAGGCTGTGTCCACCACTGTGACAGGCACCTGAGACGCGGCTGGGCTGGCCGACCAGGGGCCCACCCACAGCTGTCCAGCGGGAGCAAGAGGGGCGTCCGGAAGGAGGGAGGCAGAGGGTGGGCTGGGGTCCCCCAGGCCTCTCCAGGGACAGCGCCCAGTGACCGCAGGTGTCCTACCTCCCAGACACCCTCCCGAGGACGCACCCTGCGCCTCCAGCCTTGGGGACAGTCGCGACTGCCGGTGATGGCTTGGCAGCCCAGGTGACCCTCAGGGCCCAGGTGCCACGGCTGGCCCACGGGACCGGAGCCTGACACCCCTGTCCCCCTCTGAACCCCGGGACCTTGGGGCTCTTCCTCTGGCAGAGACCCTGCCTGGCCACGCCCAGCCTCACCTGGGGACTCTGCCAAGTCCACCTGGAGCGCGCAGACGGCCACCCCTGAGGGCCTCCGAGCGGCAGAGGCTCTGACCCCAGTCCTCTGTCCTCGCTGTGGTCTGACCTGTCCAGAGCCCTGAGTCTGGCCTCCCCCCCAGGTATGGACAGCGCCTGGCCTGATCCCGGCCGCCCGGGGTGGTCTGCACTGTGGGTAGATCGGGGGGGGTCCCATTTCCTGCTGGCTTCCCAGGGTGACACGAGCACCCTGGGTTGATTTCAATGAGTTATCTTTGGGGACACGTGAAATGGGACCATGATCCAGCTGGGCGCGGTGGCCACGCCTGTCATCCCAGTGGCTTGGGAGGCTGAGGCAGGAGGATTGCCAGGTTGAGGCCAGCCTGGGCAACCCAGGAGGCCCTCACAAGGCGGGAGGCCCAGGCCGTAAATAAGACGTGCGAAGGGACTGGGGCCGGCTCAGCGCCAGCGCCGGGTTCCCCTCGGGTGAGAGTCAGACACGCCCACCCCCACCCTCCTGCAGGCCGTCCCTGTCCTCTCAGTCCCTCGTCCCCTCCCTGCCTCTCCTTCCTCCTCCCCCTATTGGGAGCAGGTGACAGGGTCATGTGACGGGTTCCCTGGAGGTGACCCCACGGTGCCCAGCCCGGCAGCCTGCCCGCTCTGCTCCTGCAGGGCTCTGGCGCCGCGTGGCCAGCGGTGTCAGCCGGAGGCCAGCGCGGTCTCGCCCCTCCCCGGCAGGGAGCACTGGCCTCCGACTCGCGGCTGTACTGCCCTCTGTCCGTCCACCTGGTGACAGGCGCCAGTGGTGCCCAGCTCCGAGTCGTGGTGGACGACGGTGCTCTGCCCATGAAGCCTGGGCGCGGAGTCCTGCGACTCTGACGGCGCTCTGCCGCTGCCCGCCTCCTCCCGTGTCCGGAGCGCCTGGTGGCATGATGTGGTGTCTGTCCTGTCCCCTAGGCGAGGGCTCTGTGGGTACCTAGGGCCACCGCTCGGCCACCGCTCGGCCACCGCCGCGGGGTTGTGGCTTGGACGTGAGGCACCCATGCCCACCCCAGCCCGAGCCACCCACGGGTGACCTGCAGGTCCTCCCGATGGCTCCCCCACCGCGTCCCACCTCAAGAGGCTGGCCCCACTGCACATGGGTCCCACCTTCACCCCGCTGGGACTCAGTGGAGGGGCAGCTGGGGACCAGGCAGGGCACAGGGCCACCGGGTCTACCAGTGACGTCACTGGTGGTCCCCCAAGGCCCCGTCCACGTCTGCAGGGTAACGTCACTGGACAGAGGTCTCTGAGATGAGGCCAAGCTGGGTTGCCTGGGTGGACCTGACCCAGTACCACTGCCCGTACGTGGGACGCTCAGAGTGGCAGGGCGGTGACCGCTGGATGGCGTGGCCACGGCCAAGGAGAGGCAGGAGGCCCCCGGAGCCTTGGTCTCAGGCTGTGGCCTCTGGAGCCGGGGTGGGGTGGCCAGCGGTGGGGTGGCCAGCGGTGGGCCTGGGTTCCCCGGTGGGACCGGGCCCTGGGAGGCACACCCCTCAGGGGCAGCTGTGCCCACTCTTCCCCACCCCTCCCTGTCACCCTCAGGCTGCGGTGGCAGAGGTGACCCTTCTCCAACAGGCCAGTGCTCAGGAGCCCTGCCCTCGCCGGCCCTGAGGCGCGTCCCAGGCCAAAGCGGGCGCCTTTGGGACATTGTCTGCCTCCTGGTTTAGGGCTGTGACTCCAGGTCCCCAGAGCAGCCTGGGGCGGGTGGGAAGGACACCTTCAGGCAGGACGGCCAGGACGCAGAGGGACAGGGGACCTCAAGACTCAGCACCATGTAGGGCGAGGGGCACAAATCGCAGTGGGGGCCAAGTCCACTGTCCTCCCCTGCCCGGGCCAGCAGCGGCCAGCAGGGGAGGCCAGGCGTGCAGGGACAGCTGCCAGGGCAGGACATTGACCCTCTCAGGCCTGAGGGTGGGGACGCCTCCAGCGGAGAGATGGACAGACAGATGGGTGGAGAGCACCTGGCCACAGCTGGGGCCTGGAGACACCAGGAGGGTGTGGTCCCTGAGGGGCGGCTTTCCCGGGGACAGTGTCACGGGGGAGCCTGTCTCTCCTGCTCCCTCGCTCTGGGACGGGCCGTGTCCTGCAGCGGGTGGGCCCCGGGTGCAGCCGCCACATGCAGAGCGCGTGGGGGGGCAGCGCAGGGGCGGCCTGGCTCTGGGAGGACAGGGCCCCCACGGCCCGAGCCTCTGTCACACCACGTGGACGGGTGCCAGGGGGGACCGACTCAGAGAGTGGCGGGGTCCATGCCTGGCCAGGGCTGAGAGCCCCGTCCCCGAGACACCCACCCCCACGGTGGCCCCAGGCTGAAGGGGCCTCTGGGTCCTGTGGGGAGGCCGCTGGTCTTTCAGAGGACGCGCTGCTTTGGTCCCCCAGCCACGCAGCCTCCCTGTGGCGGGGCAGGGACAGTCTGTTAGGGACACTGCAGCCCACCCTCCAGGTGACCGCCAGCCAGAAAGGAAGACGCGGACGGCGGGCGTTGGAGTGAGCCTTTAATCCATGTGAACCTAGAGCAGGAAGTTAGGCGAAAGTACAGCGCATCCGACGTCTCGGCGGGGCCCTGGGTCCCGCGTGCCCAGGAGCTGTGCGACCTGCCTGCTGCTTGCGGCCACCGCAGTCCCCGCAGTCCCCCAGGGAGGCCGGAGCTGTGCCCAGGCCCTGGCCCCGCCCACTCCATACAATATAAATAGCATCTTGACCCACACGGGGACACAGGGACATGGGGACATGGGCGGCTGCTGCATGCAGAGGGTGCCCCTGGGCCACCCCACGCCCTGCCGCCTCGGGTCGCCCGGGCCACCCAGGCCTGGCGGCCACCTCCCTCAGACTCCCTCTGCCTGGCCACACAGGACACTTGGAAAACTCTTCTTTATACAAGCTGACCAGCCCTCAGCCCCTCCCGGGGACAGGGGGCGGCCAGGATGGAGAAGGCCGGGGGTGCGGGGCGGACACAGGTCAGGCCGGGCAGCTCCTCAGCCCACCCGGCGGCTCCCACGGTCTCTGCAAGCCCAGGCAGGACGCACCTGCTCTTCCTTGGCCACACAGACCCCAGGTCCCTCTCCGAGGACATGGGACAGTGGAAGGGGAGGGTCCCGGGGTCCGCTACACACAGGGCAGGCAGTCGGGCTGGCCCCTGCAGCGCTAGACTCGCCCTGCACCCCCACGTCCACTAGGGGCCTCGCTGCCAAACCCGGGGCAGCCACGCTTGCCAGGAGCGGGCAGCCCAGCCATGCTCACGGGAAGGAGCCTCACGCCGGCCTGGGGACGGCCAGCCTGGGGGCGCTCCGACATGCTCCTTGCCGGGCAGCGACCTTCCCAGAGGTCTGCGCAGGACGGGCTGGGCCTGCGGCTCCAGGTGCAGAGGGGGAGGCCTGGCCACCCGTCAGGGAGCCCCAGCCAGTGGGTCCCGGCTGTCACCGCGTCCTGCCCTTCCGGGTGCCCTCCCTCCTGCGCAGTGGACAGGTGACATCTCAAAACAACACAAACAAACAATGGTGCCAAGGTGGCTTCTGGCTCTCAGCGCCGTCGGTTTTGCGAAAAAGAATGTGTCTGTCTCGTCCGTCCTGTTGGTGGAGCCACAGACCTGAGAGGCGGGGCCGGCGGCCGTCCCTCTCTGGCCCTGTACCGGGTGTCGCGGGCCCGCAGGCGGCTCTGTTCAGTCGCGTGGCTGCTCAGCAGCAGTGCGTAGCACCTTGGAGAACGGGGCTCGCGGCGAGCCCCAGGCGTCCCGTAGGCGGCGCCAGCCACGGCCTCCCCAGCCCGCTGGCCCTGCTCCCTGAGTCCAGGCCGCATTGGCGTCCTGCTCGCTCCTGTCGCCCTGGAGGGGCACCTGTGGCGCGGAGGTGGCCTCTCGGCCGGGAGGCGAGGACAGGAACCCACAGCGAGCAGACGCCCAGGCCCACCATGTCCGCCGCGCTGGGCTGAGGGGGGCTCGGCGGCCGCTGTCCTAGAAGGGGGCCCCGGGCCGGCCCCGCGCCTGCAGCAGGCTCTCCACGAAGGCCAGGTAGTCTGGGCTGCGCCCGGGGTCCTCGGTGGCGGTGAGCGGGGTGCCCACCCGCGGGCGTTTGGCGGCCTTCACCTCCTCGGCCGAGAAGGCAGGTCCCTGCGGCGCCCCGGTGCTGAGCGACTGCGGAGGCCAGAGCGCACCACCGTGAGCGTGTGCAGGGCCAGGCCTGGGAGCCGCCCTCCTCGGCCAGCGGCCACCTGCAGGAACCCTGGACCTCGAGTGAGCAGCCCCACCCCCACCCCAGCCAGTGGCCCTGACAGTCCACCTGCCGGGCAGTTCTGTCCAGCTGTGCGGAGGGAGGGCCACCCCACACCCGGCCTCCCCTGGGCCCCTGGGCCTTGTGCTAGAAAAGAGAGAAGACCCCAGCAAGCCGGTGAGTGCCAGCTGCTGTCCCTGTCACCTGCAGGACCAGTGCCCTGCTCAGGAGGAGCCAGCTCTGGACAGCATTTCCTGAAGCTGCCAAGCGGGCTCCCAGGCTCTGCTCCCAGGCCCCGGGGACGGCACTCCAGGCTGCGGCCTCCCAGCCCGACCCCTGCCCAGCCCTGGCAGTAAGGGCGGCCAGCGACGCCCCCTTCCCCTCAACAGGCTTGTGCCCCGGAGCCCGGACCCAGCTGCCCTCCTGCTGGGGAACAGCCAGGCGGGCCAAGGGTCACCTCTGCCCCAGGATGGCACCCCGCCTGGCCCCACTCACCAGCCGCGAGCGCACCCTCTTGGGGAGCTCCTCCTCCAGGGTGAAGAGGTCCGCACGCTTCACGGTCAGCTGGGAGCCGTCCTCAAACTCCACCTGGGGGTCACACAGGCCTCAGGGCGCTGACCCCAGCAGCCAGCCACCCTGAGGCCACAGGAGGCCAGCCAAGGCAGAGCCCCGCCCACCGCGCCCGCTGGGAGCCGCAGGGAGTGGCCCAGGCTGTCCTCCGGGTCCTGCGGGAGGGGCAGCAGCAGCTGAGGGCAGCAGGGGCTGGCGCAGGCTCCGTGGGGGGGACCGAGGCTGCGTCCCCCTCACCTCAGGCTCCACAGAGGGTGACAGATGGCAAAGACTGGCTCCCTGCAGACTTGGCTGTGGGCAGGGTGACCGCTGGGTGGACCCAGACTGGTTTCCGGGGCCAGGAGGCGGGCGGGACTCGTGCGGGGCTTCCTTAGCTCAGGACGGCGGCGGCCCAACCCCTGCCCAGGGCTCCTTGCTTCAGGGGTGGGTGCCCAGTGGTGACCACAGAGGCGGGTGCTGGGGCTCGGGGAAGGGCGCCCACTCAGGGTCCAGCCCAGCAGCCGCCCCCCCGGGGGCAGAAGGCTCTGGCTGCAGAGCCCTCACACTCTCAGTGCCTGTCACTCGGGAGCCTGTCACTCGGGACCTGGGGCACCGACGGCTGCCAGGCTGGTGCCAAGGGGCGGGGAGGCAGAGCTGCCTGGGCCCTGGTCTTGCCCGGGTCCTGGGAGGGCAGCGAGGCCCTCGGGTCTGTGTGGAGGCCCAGAGCCTCTTCCGGCTCAGGTGGAAAGAGGGACCAAGCCGCCCCTCCCTGCCCTTCCCTCCGCAGGGGGGACTGGGGAGGGGGCCCGCCCCGACCTTGGCGACCAATCACAGCCCACAGGCGGCTCCGGGCACAAGGGCTGAGCTCTGGGTGGGGAGACGCTGGGGCTTCCAGGTCAGGGGTGGCAGAGCTGCCCCGTGGGCAGGGGACGACACCCTGCAGGGCACACACGCCTCTGCCCCGTCCAGGGCTCCCAGGAGACACCCGGTGACCACCTCGCTCTGGAGTGCGGGGACGCAGCACTGGCTGGGCTGCAGGAGACCCCCTGGAGCCTGCAGGACCCCCAACTCAGCGCCACTCTCCGAGGGCTGGGGTTCGGGCGGCAGTGTTGGGGACACGGGGATGGCCGAGGCGGGGAGCCGTGCCTGCTGTGCGCTCGTCGCCCTCTCCTGCAGCGGCTGCCCTGCAGACCAGGCCGTGCCCCGAGCTGCGCCAGCCTGCTCTCCCCCAGGGGAGCCCTGCGGGGCTCGCGTCCCACCCACACGTGGAGCAGTAGTCCCCTGCAGAGCCACCCAGAAAGGCGCGAGTCCAGGGGTCCCCTCCCGTGTGGGGACCAGCAGCCTGTGGCAGTCTGCAGACACTCCCAACAAGAAGAGCCTGGGCCCAGATCCCAACCTCAGCCCGCGTCACCAAGAGCTGGAGCGCCGCGCCCTGGAGGTGAGGTGAGGGTGGCTGTGGGAACCCTGGGCGCCCCCTGCTCCTTGCTGGACAGGCTCTGCATGGAATGTCCACCCCAGCACAGTGCCCAGTGCTGCGGGAAGTGTGAGTGGCATGCCCCAGGCCCTGGGCAGGACACTGCCTGCTCCTGGTGAGGAGGCCCAGGGCTGGTCCTGACCCTGTCAGGCCCCACTCCAGGCAGGACGCGAGGCCCAGCCCCACGCTGGACTCCCCTCTCCGGCACCCACAGGCGTGGGCTGGACTCCCCTCTCTGGCACCCACAGGCGTGGGCTGGACTCCCCTCTCTGGCACCCACAGGCGTGGCCAGGCTTGACTTCCCGCAGCCAGAAAGAGCCACCAGGTAGGGGGCTGGGGCTGGGGCACTGTCGAGATTCCTCTGCCTGCATTGGCATGGACGGGCTCAGGTTGCCCCAACCCCACTGGCCCTGGGTCTACTCAAGCCAATCGGGATGCCCAGCGGGCGGCTGGCAGACCCGAGGCGGCTTTGCAGATCTGGGCTGGGACTCTCCCAGGCCTCTGGTGGCTGATGCAGGCCTAGGAGGGACCACTGTGCCCCTGTGGCTGGAAAGCACCTGCTTTGAGCGCCAGGCACGGGGTGTGGCCATATCGCTGCGAGAGGCCAGAAAGGAAAACCCAGTGAGGCTGAGTGTGGTGCCTGGCCGGGCCAGACCTGAACAGGGCCAGGGCCAGGGCGAGGCACAGGTCCCAGGCCCTTGGGCACACGGGGACTCTAGTTCTAGTTCCAAATGCAGTGACATCTCGGGGCCATCTGTGGGGCTGCACTTTCTTCCTCCATTTCTCTGCTTTTTGTACTGGGGACGGACCCAGGGACTGCACCAAGCTGCACCCCCAGATTTTTAACTTTTTCTAAGTGGCCCTGGTAGCTGTTTTGACAGGCTGCCACCCTCTTAGAGGCCCAAACTCAAAGGCCAGCGGAGAGTCTGGCTGAGAGACAAGGGGGTCAGGAAGCCCTGCCTGGCTACGTGACCCACGTGACCCCAGGGCAGCATTGACGCAGCGCCCTGGTGGGGGGGCGGGGGCAGGGAAAAGCAGACCCAGGAGCCCAGCGGCAGACAGCTGTGCTGCAGAACAGGGGGCTCATCCTAAAATCACACTTTTAAAGAGTTTCCTTCCGTCATCATCCGGAGCCCCCAGCCCCGGGGAGGCAGGCCAAGGGCAGAGGGGAGCTGCGGGCGACTCTGCCCAGCGCAGAGCAACCACCAGACAGTGGGGCTGGAGCCGTGGCTCCGCGGGCTGGGGGCGAGGCTCCGTGGTGGAGCTTAGCGTGCAAGGCACTGGCGCGCCTCTTAGCCCCTCCTGTAAGTGCACAAAGGTCCATGGACAACTTAAGAGAAAAACAAGACCAACCGGCCCTGCGCTTCCGTCAGGCGGCTGGAGGGGGACACCAGCAAGCCTGGCACGCTGCTGGGGAAGGGCCTGAAGCTTTGCAGGCCACAGGAGTCCTGCTCACCTGATAGATGTGACTGGTAATGGAGGAGATGAACTTGGCCTTGTAGAGGTTGCCGTCCGTCCACCGGAGCTCCACCAACTCGCCCTCGGGAGGGGGCCCCAGCCGCAAGCAGTCTCTACTCTGCAGACAGAGCCCAAGTCCAGTGAGGCCCTCTGTGCACCCAGCTCTGTGTGTGGCTTCAGGTTCCTCTGTCCCTTGGCCCAAAAGGGGGCGGGGTGTGGGGTGTGGGGTGGGGGTGACTGCAGGGACAGCGGACCCCAGGTGGGTGCCCAGCTGGAGTGCACCCTCCCCCGGGCTCATGTGGGCAAGTGCTTTCTGCAGTTTGGGTGGAAACAGAGCTTTCCCTGCGAGGCTGAGGGCGGGAGGGGCTCCCTGACCGGGGGTCTCCACCCCCCGGGCTGTGCCTTCACCCTCCCGGCCCCCGGCTCACAGTGATGCTCTCGGGGTACAGGTTGTCACTGTAGGAGCCGTCATCGAAGTTCACTTCGTAGAAGGTCTGCGTGGTGCTGCCGATGACGCGGCAGCGGTAGTAGAGCCCGTTGCGGTTCTTGGTGATGACCACCTGGCCTAAGGACACGGCCCTCAGGAGCTGGACCTGGGAGGGCGGGGGGCGGGCTGTCAGCGGGGAGGGGATGAAGGGCGGTGGGCCGGGGAAGGACAGGCAGGGCCCTTACAGCGTGTCCCCCAGACTTGTGCTTGAGGCAGGTGATGGACACCACATAGGGCCAGTCGTCCGGCTCCATGAGGACCCCGGCGGCGTGGGCACAGGTCACGTGGAAGGACGTGGAGCAGTGCTCGTAGGAGCACTGGATGCAGGCCCCCGACACCTTCTTCATCCTCTTGCGGCAGTACACACATTTCTGGGGGTCACGGGTAGAAAATGAGGCTCTGGCTGGGATCTCCCGCTTCCCAGGGGACAGCCCCCTCTGCCAGGCCCCAGGACATTACCCAGGAATGACCCTGAGGCCCAGGTTAGAAGATGGAACCCCCACCCTCACCCCAGTTTGGTGGTGACATCCTGGGGAGGCCCTGCCCTGTTGGGGGGCTTCTTCAGCTGCCCACTCAGAGCCCTGCAGGGTGCCCCCTCGGCCTGCAGCCCTGTGAGCGGCAGGAAGCACAGGAGTGTGGCCGCCCCCTCCACCAGGCCTGTGCAGAAGGGCCCACCGCAGCGCTCCTCAGCCAAGAGGAGCCGCGTCACGGGTGAGCCCGGGGGCCCTGGAGAACACGCGGGAAGCGGGGAAGGCACCACACAGGCCACCCGTGGCGAGTCCAGGACAGGAGGTGGATTTGAGGTTGCCGTGGGCTGTGGGAGGGGATGGGCTGACAGGGCTTCCCTTAGGGACGATGGAATGCTCTGGACCTAACAGTGACGGTCGCGCAATCTAAAGACACTCCACCGAACGCCAGTGGATCGTCACTTTAAGAAGTGAACCAGGGCGGGGTCCGGCTCAGGGTAGAGTCCCCAGCACCAAGTCTAGAAAACAGAAGGGAGCCTCGTCCCTAACACAAGCTGCAGGGCAGCCTCCTTTGTAATAAAGGACCCTTGTGGGGTCACTACTGTAGGCATCTGGCCTGTCCTGGCCCTGAAGAAGCATCGGAGGCCAAGCCCTGGGTAGCTGCCTCGCCCAGGCCGGGCCACCCCACGCTGTCACCATGAGCGTTTAATAAGCAGGCCTTTATCGCTCTATAAACCACGTCCAAAGGCCAGATGAGCTCCGGGGCAAAGGGCCCGCAGCAGTGCCCATCGACTGCGGATCATGGCGATGAGCTCTCATTATGAAGCTGCCGATACCTGCTGCCCCGCCAGTAGGGCCAGCCCAGCACCGGCCTGGCCCTAACCCTGCACCG